TAGGCGAAATGTTCCATTGCCTGTTTCGTAAACTTCACAGCACTTTCAGAAAATCAAAGAAATTCGAAATTCACCCGGTGGAGTTTGAAGCTTTTTCAGTAGACTCTTTTGAAAATATGTAGTAGTTTTTTTGTTAATCACTCGAGCAAGATTTCAAGTAGTCCATGTAGTGTTTTTAAGTGACACCGCTTGCTTACTACTACATCGTTAATGGGACAGTGTATCAGTGTCCGGACGCGTACACTTATGTCCAGTCAAAATTGATTGGTATCGTAGATTCACTTCGTATGGCGCTCGAGCAAGCTCGGCAGTATTGCAGGTATTTTTAAAAGTAGTAAAACGACCCTTGCGCATATCGTCTATCATATTCACTTTCATTCCTCTGACAACGGCTTATTGCAAAGCTCCCAGAATTGTTCAGATACGAACGATAGTAAAACTAAAATATAAAACACAGCAGAGATAGCAGCGCATCGCAGCGCACTGCATAAGTTTGTTGGGTTCGCCACACTTCACGGTGACCTCTTGATACACAGAAGGACCGGAAATTACTAAAATTCTGCTTGGCTCTGCCTGCCATGGTTAGGATTGCTAGTTTTGGTCACACGTAGCGAAGGAAAGGAGACTGGCATTTTGTCAGGAAAAGAATTGAGAACTTTCTTAAAGATAAAAACTGGAGACAGGGGCAGCGATTCTGAATTATATGAATTAATGATGCTAAGCAAGAAACTGGATGCCGGGTGAAAGCTGGTAAGGTTATACTTGCGCTCCAAGATCTCTCTGAATCAAGAGCTGTGTACGACCATGATTTTCGCATAAACCCAAAAACGAGTGCTTTTTCTTTCCATGCGCGATTGGCAATAGCCAAGTTTTCGTAATTGCAAAAAATCATCTCCGAATTACACTTCCATCTAGTTGCCATGCTTTCAAGCATCCTTACTGGCTTCAGCAATCTTTTTCAGGTATAGCGCCGGCAGAGGCTATTATTGGGAGTTTAAAGAGTCTGAGGGCGAAACCACTAAAAAAGTTAGTTATTTTACCTTCGCTTTTTTACCGTCTTTTGCTTGTCGCATGTATTTTCGGTGAAACGGCAGAGCTTTACGTTAAAATTGTACCTTGATACTTTGAGTAGATGCAGTTTCATCGCCACCACAGAAGCAAAAAAGTGTGTTTTTCCATATCACTGAACGTCTTTCCTCTGTCCACTAACCTTTCACGAATAGCATTGGGCTGTCTGTTTTGCTGTTCCGTTGTTTCTTCTCGCCACATCAGCAATCCAGCAGTAGTTCTTCCTGGTACATATTCAAAACACCATCCGTGTTTTACTCTCAGTGAGAAGCAAAGGCAACTCGGAAAGTAGCCGAATTGATAGCGAATGCCAGTAGCAGTCACCCGCTGACAAGGCTGTCGATTTTTCGTTTCTTGAGAATTACTTAGAAACAAGCTGATGGTGGGTTTAATTCCCTGGACATGCCAGTACCTATTTTCCATCGAAGCAAATCTTAGAGAGATTGGCTGTCTCACCGGCTGCACAGCAACAGTGCTGCTCCGTCATGCTTGCTGGTATACATTACCTCAATAAAAGTTGTATTAAGAAATACAAAAGTTATCACTTTGTTTTATAATTTGTTCCCGTAATTTGTCTCTTTGGATATTTTAGGCACCAAAAGAAGAGGAAAAACCGCAACTGGCTCGAAGTACATATTATCACCGCACAAGAACAGACCCAATGCTGAGAGAACTTTTTGCGAAATTCCCTCCACCCGACAACATTGTATGCCTTTTTCTCCTTAGTTCGGTTTCCTGTATATACACAGTGTATGTCATTTTCAAGCTTCTTCTTCAGTTTCAGGAAAAAGAAATTCTGAAATATCTCTTCGGCTGCTCATTTTTTATTACTGGATTTATGAGGCTGCAGTAAGTACAGTTGTACTCCAGGAAAAAAAGGTGAAATTAAGCACTGAGATTTCAGGGATTCAATTATGACGAAAGTGAAGCGTCTGCAGAAGCCGATGCGACCGCAGCTGGTGGCTCTGCTGCTGATAAATCGGCACCAACTGCATCCATCACTGGTCAGGATGCGAAACCAACTGAAGATGCGTCATCGGCTGCGCAGAAAGCAACATTTGCCTCACCGTCGAGTGTCCCGATGATTCCTCCTCATCGAAGCGCGGGCGAAGCTTCAGGAGGTCCACTAAGTTTCCCGGGAACTGCGCCACCGCTGTCAACTCCGGCTAACCCACCGCAGGAAACTGATTTCAAGCGTTTTAAAACAGGTTGATGGTATACATTAGAGATGAGTTTCAAATATTTAGCTGCAGATGTATCTTTGGTGCTTACTGAGCTTTCGTTATTTTGAAATGCTCTCGATGATTTTTGCATAGATTATGATCCAGAATGATGAGCATTGTTTGTCACTGTGCAATTCTTGTGACACGTTGTTGAAGCTTCTCCAGAAACAGTGCGTGACAGTGAGGGAACGG